CCCCTCCTCTCTCGTCTCCCCCTTCCCCCTCCCTTCCCCTCTCCTCTCCTCCCCCCTCCCCTATCTCTCTCGTCTCCCCTTCGCCCCTCCCCTTCCCTCTCTCCTCCTCCCCCCCCCTTCTCTCTCGTCTCCCCCTTCCCCCTCCCCTTCCCTCTCTCCTCCCCCCCTCCCCTTCCCCCTCCCCTTCTCTCTCCCTTCTCCCCCCCCTCCCCAACACCTCTAGTATAAACCAGGGGTTGCTGGCCTTTCGTCAAACAAGTTTATTTCCTCTCCTTCTTCTTCTTTATATTGTGTTAACTTCATTATTATTATTACCATTATTATTACTATTAACATTATCATTGTTAGTGTCATTATCCATTACGGATTATCATCATTTTAATTACCGATTGTTATCATTATGAAATATCAGTTATTATTGTTACTGTTATTACTATCATTATCATCATTATTATCCTCATTATTATTACTACTATCATCGCTATAATTATTCTTGATTCTTGATTATTATTGTTATCATTATTATTATTATTGTTATCATCATTATTATTATCATTATGATTACTATTACTATTATCATATTGTTATCATTGTTATGATTAATATCGGAATTATAATAATATCATTGTTATCATCATTATTGTCATTGTTGTTGTTATTATTATTATTATCATTATTATTATTATTATTGTTGTTGTTGTTATTATTATTATTATTATTATTATTATTATTATTATTATTATTATTATTATTATTATTATTATTATTATTATTATTATTATTATTATTATTATTACTATTATTATTATTATTATTATTATGATTATTATTATTACTATTGTTATTATTATTATCATTATTGTTGTTATTATATTTGTTATCGTTATTATTATTATCATTATTATTATTACCATCATCATTACCATTATCATTACTATTAACATCATTATCAGTATTACTATCATTGTTATATTTACCATTATCATTAATATTGGTATTACTATTAACATTAGTGTCGTTTTCACTGTTATTCTTATCATTATTACTATCATGTCCTCCTCCTCATAATCATTACTATCATTATCCCCGTTTAATACAAGTGGAAATACACACACACACACACACTCACACTCACAATCACACTCACAATCACTCATATACACACAATCGCAGGGGGGGGAGGTACGTCCGTCAGATTTTTTTTTGGGGGGAGGAGGAGGGGGAGGGGCTTAATCCCCCCCCCCCCCCATCTATACTTCAAACATAAAGAAAAATCAGTAAGCAGAATTCAACCATTGTGATGAACAGGAAAGTTTATGTTTATGTTCTTGCAAATAATTTAAAAAACATGTTTGACCTCCTATGCGTTACATTAGCATAAACGTCGTTATCTTTTAATTATTTGTGGACGTATAATTAATTCTGGTTTTCTCCATTTGATGTTCTTTTATAGGATTGTAAAGACAATAGTCCCTCGTACTTCGAGTTTGCCCTCTGCGTCCCTTACAAACAACAACAAACAAATAAACAGGCGAAGGAGAGGAAGAAAGGGGACAGAAAAAGGAAGTTAGAAGGAAAAATAGCTTGATAATGATGATAATAATAACAACAACAACAACAATAATAATAATAATAATAATAATGATAATAATGATAATAATAATAATAATAATAATAACAACAACAACAATGACAATAATGATGATAATAATATTATTATAATTTCGATATTAATCATAATAATGATAACAACATGATGATAGTAATAGCAACGACAATGATAATAATGATAAGAATAATAAGAATAACAATAATATTAATAATGATCATGACAATGATAATCAATAATTAAGAATAGCTTGGTGTATTAGTTTTTTGTCCCTCATGCCATGCCTGGATTCTTCATCGTTAGGGCATAGGCAGCTTGTCAAGTGAATTATTAACCATTATTAAACATGAGAGAACATTTATATTTTAAATCTATCAACTGAATTGGCGGAAAGAAAACACGAATAGGCACTGCGCCATTTTTTTTTTTTTTTTTACTCGCATGGAAACGCAGTGACAGAACGAGAATGTATTAAATAAACATAAATAATAAATGAACTATGAAGGCGAAATAAACACTGAAATAGAGACAAGTGAAAAGAAGCAGTTTGTTGTGAGGTGACGGGTCGGTAATGGGAAAACAATTAAACCACGAAAATAAATGGATAAAGGAAGAAACAAACGCACACAGACACATATACACGCACACACACACACACACATATATATATGTATATATGCATATATATATATATATATATATATATATATATATATATATATATATATATATATATATATATATATATATATATATATATATATATATATATATATATATATATATATATATATATTTATATATATATATATATATATATATATATATATATATATATATATATATATATATATATATATATATATATATACATATATATTTACATATACATATATATATATATATATATATACATATATATATATATATATATATATATATATATATATATATATTTACATATAGATAGATAGATAGATAGATAGATAGATAGATAGATAGATAGATAGATAGGTAGATAGATATAGATACATGCATACATACATACATACATACATATAGATACATATATATATATATATATATATATATATATATATATATATATATATATATATATATATACATATATATGTATATATATATATATATATGTATATATATATATATATATATATATATATATATATATATATATATATATATATATATATATATATACACATATATATGTATATGTATATATATA